TACTGCTGCTAAAACAAATGCTTGCATAGATATTTTAAAGCATTAATTGATCTTTCCATATGTATTAAAATTTTGTTTGGATATTACAAGGGTATGTACGATATAATTGAATATTTTACAGAAGAAATACATTTTTTAAAAGGACATATCTTGCAAGCAACCCGAACTTAAAGATGATTGAAAAGGGAAACAAGTTAAATAAGCCCATCTTGCTAAATTTAATAAATTCTCAAAATTCTGAATGCAAAATGTACTGATTTCCACTATTCACAATTAACCTGAAGCATTTTAATACACATCAAATTTGGTTGGAGAATTCTGATGGACTATAAATTAAGGATTCCATACTTCTTCCTCGGACACAGATATATAGCAATGGTATATATCTGTGTACGGACACATCTGTATAGCCCAGATATATAGCAGTGGTTTAATGATAAGTTTGGGTAGTGCTTGGTAGAATTACCACAAGTATAGAATAAAACGGGAAATTAGAAAATGCAAAAATAACATTAAGAACTCAAACTTTAAACTGTTTTCTTTTATAAAATAGTTGACGGTAGTTTCCAGATAGCGGCCATCGGTTTATTTCCATTTTGAAGGTCAAGTGCTAAAAGTCCAAAACTATTGCAAAAGACAAATTAATTTTAAAAGAGTTGTGTTTCTGTATCCAATTTGTTCATTAAAATCAGTGTGAACCAACTCATTGTCCACGAGCTGTATGTAGCCCTCATTATTCATTTTTATTTATCTTGTCCTAATTACTCGAAAAATATTTTAATTTAACCTTTGGGAAAAAATTAAATACTCATTTAACTGCTTAAGACAATTTAAATACTTTAGAGATATTAATTAACGATACGCCAGCAGCTTCTGGTCTGATAATCGTCATTTCTCCTTACAATTGCCACCAGTTTGTATTTTTCATCTACTAATAATAGATATCAAGAAAGTAGTCCAGGACAGATTGCAGGATTTTCTCACCCTACTATCAAAACTTGCACTTTTTAATAACCCCAAGGATCTAAAAGTGAGTAGTAGTAGTGGTATATTTGTTGCCAAAATCAAGAGAACGTCGGCTCTCACCGGTGAATGCCAACAATCACATAGTCGCTTTGGTGAATCTCCGAAATATTTGTTATATCCAATTTGATGTTAATTTATTCGTTGATATTATTATACTTATTCGATATTTTAATATCGTCTGAGGATAGATTAGGAGAAATATCAGTCTCAGAAACAGGAGTTTTGGAGTACCGGTTAAATGCATACTGGGCAGTGGCACTTGATCTTAAAAAACATTGATGTTGGGCGTACCGAGCAAATTTATACCGGGCAGTGGCACTTAACTAGACCTAGTATATATTTCGGACATTTACCAAAGTGAATATGGGATTGTCAACATTCACCAGTGGAAGTCAACCACCACCAATTTTAGTCATTCCCAGTTGCATCATTTACGTCGCAATAGAGCTAGACTATGTGCCATGACTGTCTGAAAAATATCATAGTAGATGATCTGAAGACAAGTCATCCCAATTTTTATTTTCTGCATAGGTGATGGTTCCTCCGCTACAGTACTCCGACCACCTGCACGCGAAATTAAGCATATTACGGTAGAGTAGTTTAATGAGGACCCATACAGATCACTCTCGATCCCTTCACAGGCTGATCAGAGCGGTCACCCACCATCTCGCTGACCGCAACCAGTGATGTTTGACTTCATTTATCTACTGGGAACAGAGTCTTAAGATCAGTGAGAAATTGAATCAGGTTCTGGAATCGAACCTTAGACTTTGCCTTACTGAACTTAAAGTACACACTGATAAATTTGCGTCAAGAAAATAGTACTAAGAGTCTTATTTAAATTCGAAACTTCAAAATTAAGTGGTACACTGAGAAAAGTACACTATGGTCAAAACTACGAGTGTGTGGTTAATAAACCGTGCTTATTGCGCTTCTAGAACAGAAAAAACTCGGTAATTTTTACCGAGCTTTTTTTTTACACTTTGGTAATGATTTTGGTTAAATTAACCACAGTGTTATAATCTGTGACAAAATGTGCTTTTGGTAAAATTAAATTTTGATAAGATTAACAATAAAATATAGTTTTATAATGTGTGAAAAAAGTTGGTAAATGAGGTAAAATTTGGTAAATTTATCATAATACCTCATGGTATGAAAACTATTTATATGGTAAAGTTTGTTTTTCAGTTTTGCACTTTTTACTAGTTGAGTAGTAACAAAACTAAACTAACTAATATTTTTAAGACTAGAATTTTTGGTTTTAAGAATGTTCGGAAACATTACTGTATGCACAGAAGAATTAATAAATGAATTGTGTAAATACCAAATGCTTTGGTCTGATAGACCAGAATCATTATTTTTTTTTAACCAGAAATGTCATTACTATACCCTACGGTAATTTTCAAGAATTTTATTCTCTGTTTAAACTAGTATAAATTATAGTATATTAAACATTTAGTAATGTAAATTTTAGGGAAATTTTATAATAAAATATTTAATTCATTTTTCTTTCTGATCTGGAATACCTCACATTCCTACATCAGCGTTTGAGTGGTTTTCGAGTAACTACTGGACTACACTGGCTTAAATTACCGTCTGTGCTTATTAGTTAGCATATATAAGGTGATTCCTGAACAATTAAGAATGCTTACTAGATCATAATTTATCGATCATTATATCAAGATTAATTTTGATTTGTTTTCGTTTCTCTGATAGAACAATGATTAATTCAATAATAAATTCACGCATTTATTTTTGATATGAATAATATTTTAACGTCAAAATATTAAACTAAGAAAACGTATACTGAACGATAACTTGGAAAATTGTTAGAAATTTTAATCATTTCTTAACCATCAGATAAAAATCTTCAAACTAATATTATCTTAACTTTAAACTTTCATGAAACAGTTGCATTTATTTTCTTTTCTGTCGTTGTATAGCAATTTTAAACTTTAATTCCAAGTAATTGAATTTAGAAACAACTAATTATATATGGTATTGAATACATTATTAAAATTCATAAGCGCTCTGTATGCTAATTTTCTTAACATTGAATGCAGTTGGATGAATAAATATTTATTCAAGTGTTCATGCAATAATACTATTAAAATTTAGTGAAATACGGAGGCAAATAATAGTTTGACGTTATTGTTGCGTTGTAGTTAGTTTCAGAAGCCTCTTGTTAAAATATTGGATCAAAAAGTCATACCTGGCATTCATATGAACTAAATATCTTAATGACGATATAAATCCATAGCGTATCAAAATGCCTTGATTTTCCTCTCTCGGCTACTGCGTTTCTTTTTAAATTTTGCTTCTTCACATTTATTTCTATTTCATTTTATTTTTCATGCTTTACTATTGAGGGTTTCTAGTTTTGTTTTCACTTTTATTTTAGCTTCTTTCATTGACATCTTTACGTTTTCTGTTTCAAATCTCCTTTGTTTTACTCATTTATGACTGAAAATCATGAAATTGGGAACTAGTTTTTTCGCGATTGAAACATGTCAATATAATTACCTCTTCATATTTTTTTTTGATGGAAATAAAATTTTCATGTTAAAAAATACAGCTTTCCGCCTCATTTTCTAGGGATTTAATACAGATAAACTTGCAAAAAATATACATTATTATTCTTTTCAATGAAGCAAAAAAAAAAAAAGAAAAGAAGGGATATTCATTTCGAAAGGCAAACATTTCAAATAGAGTGGTACTTTTTAATTTTTTTTCTGAAATTAGTAAATATTTAACTATTTTAGAGGTTATAAGATGGAGGAAAATCTGTGAGTCAGCCTTGACCTGTGAAGGGTTGTTGCGCTTATGAAGAAGAAGAAGAGATAAACTGCCACTCAGATAAATGCAGTTTATAAAATTATTAATATTTTTTTTAAATAATTTCATTAAAACGAGTAAATTAAATTATACAATCATAGCAAACTAGAGCATCTTTATGAAGCTTAACTTTGACTAAATTCTTTTCCAGTAAATTATTGATTCTGTCCTAAATTTATGCTAAACTTTTGTATTTATAATGCGAATGTTTTTCCCTTTAAAATTTGAATATGTAATAAAAAGAATAATAATCGTACCTTAAGAAATGAAGAAAAAAATTTTTTTAATGAATAATGCTATTGAATTTTTACGATATAACAAGATCAAAACATATTGAAAGTTTTTAAAGCCATGTCTACACATAATATGCAAAATTTTTCTAAATGATGTTCAAAAACATTTTAAGCAATGCGAAAACTGCTTTTCCAGTCATTCTCAAAATTTTACGGTTTGAAATCTAAGCATTAGTTTTGCTCTTAAATGATATTAAATCCATTTTTCTTTTAATATCCTTCTTTTTATCAAGTGAAAATACCATATTATTGTAATATAGAAATGTTTTTAAAGTTTAAATATGTCTCTTTACTTTAAACAGTTTATTCAGGTATAACTACATAAAAATCTGAATATATAAGCCAATAATATATAAATAATTATTCATTTTTCTTTCATCTTTATAAAGATACCGTTTTAACTAAATCGAACTAATTATGATACTTTAGACATAGTTCCAATTATATTTAATTTTTACCTTTGAATTTTTTTTTTTTAAATTTTGAAAGAAAATTATTCTTCAAATTGTTTATATAGCTTCATTAAGGAATAGAATTCACTTTATGCTAGTCCAACACTTCTTAGTAGACTTAAACTGATAATCATTTCTCTGCACGTCACGTGAACTTAAATAAATTAAAATTATTTGAACTAGTTAGTAGGAGTTCATATATGCAATATTTTAATGTGAATTATTTCATTCAAACTTAATATAATCCGGGATCAACATTCAAAACTTAAAAAAAATAAATAAATTTCTTATTTTATTTGTCTCAAAATGTTTCTAATTCAATTGATAGTATGAGAATTCACCTGAAATATAGTTCAAAAAATATATATTTTAAAACTAATAAAAATTAACTTACCTGTAATTATCAATAGAAAGAAGAGAAGAATATGAGTTGAAAAATATCTTTTTATCCCCAACATTATCAATTTCCTCTGAGTAAACTTCAAGTCTAATTAACAGTGCATGAAGATACTTCGCATTTATAAGTATTTAACTGAAATAAATTAATTTCAAATTATTTTATGATGGTCATTTAACACTATTATTGTGTATATTATAAATTTTACGATGAGGATATGATGTGATGATATCTATGAAAATAAAAACTCGAAAAAAGTTTCACAATCCAAATTGCTTTCTATTTTTGCTCTTGCATCAAAGTAAAAACCCTTTTCTGACAATGAACTATCTCTTAATGAGCCTCTAATGAATGCACGGAAGCATACCTCGAAGCAGCGTAAGCACTAGCACCTTCTGCAGACGGAAGAGTTAAAGAGGAAAAGTTATTTGACTAACTTACAGTGACGATTGGACGAGAACTGCTAACAGCTTCAAAGATTCGAATTTTCGCTCTTTGAATGTAGAGGGCGCTGCCATAATTCCTTGTTAAAGTGAGCTTCATTTTGAGATAGTGAAATATCTGTTAAAATGGTGAGAAATATCGTAGGAGAAGTTTTCGTATTTCATTTTCAAATCCGTGTATTTCATCTTTCAAATCCGTGTATCATCATTTCAAATCCGTGTCCGCATCATTTCAAATCCATCATTTTCAAATCCGTGTATTTCATGACGATTCTTTTCATGACGTAAAAACTTCACAAAAATAGATCTCATACATTTTAATAGCCTAAATTTATTGCTTAGATATATTTAAGAGCTACTGCTTTCTAACAAACTATAACCGTAGAGCAATTTATAGTTTAAAACGTATTTTAGTGTATTTTATTTTATTGAAAGACTTTATTTAAAATGTAAAAATGAATGTCGTGTTTTAAGGTAATAATTTTATGAAAGGGTTTATCTTTAAATCATGTTTTAAAGTGTTTTTTTTTAAAATTCACATTTTTAGTCACAAAACAGTTTTCTAGCTTTTGTTTTTAAAGACCATCATTATTATCGAAAGATAAATTATAATATTTGGGTCTATTCCTCGATGCTAAGCTCTTGAAAGCAGCTCCAAAGTTTATCCTTTAACGGTTGTTAATTGTTTAACTGTTTTTCGATTATTCAATTCATAATTTTCAAGTGGCGTCATTTATCTTTTAATTAATAATTCTTTTTTTCAATATTTTTTATATTTCTCTCAAAAAAATATTAACTAAAATAAAAATAATAAACTCTTACAGAATAATACTGTACGTTTCATGATATTTACAAATTGCCGACCAGGACAGAGTAGTGATCAGGAAACTTTCCATGCATCAGAAAGGTTCTGGGTTCGAATCCCGGACAAGGTATGGATGTTCTTTCATTCTCTGTGCTACCTGTCCTTACTGTGGGGGCGACGTTGGCCAACCTAATTTGATGCACATTCAAGAGTGGCCAATAAATCTGTCCTAATAAGCCTGAATTGACGAATGTCAACTCAGGTGGGCATTTGGGAAAAATATGTACAAACTTAAGGAACATTCTCACTGAATGTGGTTTGATTGTTCTACTTTAATAGCACCAATAAAACTTAAACTTTTCAAATGTATATTTTACAAAAATTTTCATAAAAAAAGTCGACTATCGGGTGCAGCTTTGGAAATTATTTTGTATTGAAATGAAAAGGTTGTTTTCAATACAAAATCGTTTATTTTAAGCAAAAGGAAAAGGAAAGACTATCACTGCTCTTCTTTCAGGATAAAAACCGATTAAACTTTTCAGTTTGTTTTCGAACGGCATCGTCAAAGTGCCATGTCGGGGAACGGACCCATTTCTCAGGAAACGCACCCAGGATTTCGAAAATCGTACAAATATTGAAAGTCGATTTAATGTAATTCCTTTTGAAAATGGAAATGTCTGGTTAATGTATTGCGTAAAATAAGACACTGATTCGCTAAAATAATCATGGATATTATTCCACATAAAGTTTCAACTCTTAATTCGAATTCATAACATGTTCTAGCAATCCTTTAGTGTATGATATTTTTCGAAGCTCTGCAATACAGAACAGCTCATAATTGTGTTAAGAAATTTCGAAATTATTTGAGCGCTTTAATTATTATTATCTTTTTCTTACAGCCTTGAAGAGCTACAGATTTAAACTGATTTTAATCAATGATAAATACTCTTTAAGCTCATTGATATTAATAAATAATATATATATATAGAATTAGCATATAATAATATTAGTATTTATTATAATATTCTTCACATTACTCTTATTCTTATATTTTTTTTTCACTGTTTAACCGGCAAACTGGAAGTTCATAAATATTTTTAAGAACTCATATACGTAATAAGATAACAATAAAAATTTTTATCACGCCTTCTAAGTATGGTTTATTTATGAAAAATCAAACTTAATTATTTAAAAATATTAATTACAAAATCCATTGTAGCTCAAATACTTTCAAGTACCTTTATGAAGCATATGTTTTATGTAATGAAAATGAATATCTTAGTGTAATATTTAATTATAATTAAAGCAATTTAAAATCGGGAAAAAAGTCTCTAGTTAGGAAATATTTAATTAAAAGATGTAAATTTTGTGAACTATGGTTATTAATTAATATACCCTTTTGAAATTCGAAGGGATATACATTACACAGAATAATTTCAAAAATTAATTCTTTACATTGAAGTTTGGTGATGGATTACGATTTTTTTTATCAATTCACACAAAGAACAGATTTTCTAAATACGTAATTGCTAAGAGATTTAATTATTTCGCAATTTAGAAATTTTTAAAGTGCTTTAATAAAAGAATAAATTAAATTATTTAAGTTTCAGTAAAATAATCTTGTTCAAACAAGTACTTTCATTCTATTTTATATACATCTTATACATTATCTTACGAATGTAATTATGGTAGATGGAGGACTCATAACGAAACGAAATCTTTTAATGCATTAAATGTATTAAATGAAAAAAACTGAATCATTCGAAAAAGGCTTTGCCATCAGCATATAATAAAAGATACTATAAATGGACTTAGGAAAATATTTATAGTAGTGAATTGATTGTGATACCAATAATTATGCTAAGTTTATTCGAAACTTAGTATTTCGTTATACATGTATTCTATTATTTACATAAAAGTTTGATTAACTAACAAAACAATAGCTTTAGGATACCAATTACAAATATATTTTAATATAAAATTCTATTAAATCATATATTTTATATAACAAATATCAACTTATTTTTATAGCGTTACTATATTATATTATAGTGCTTCCTTCATATGTAAAAATCTTTATTTTTCTGTAACTAAAACAAACAGTTAAACTATTTTAAAATATTTTTCATAAATGATACAATTTAAACGCATATGATGAAAACAGAAGGAAATAAAATTCTTGCTTACTTTTGTTTATTTTTAAGGCAAACATATAGTAAAATGTAAATATTAGATCAAACAAAGCTTTTGAGTTTCTTTTTTGTTTTGTTTGTTTCAGTTCATAAATTTTATTTATTCGTAGGCATAGTTGATATTAAGTAAATAAATAGTTAACATATTATAGTCATTAATTTTAATCGCCATTAATTGGAAAAAAATTAAATTTTCGTTTTAGATCATTATATGCGTTCATTCGCAATAAGTTTTAAATATTATTAAATAAGAAATGTAAAAAAATAAAGATTTGACTCGTAGCTGACCGAAATATGTAGGGGTCAGGGAATCGGCCTTGCATCAGAAAGGTTCTGGGTTTGAAACCAGGACAAGGCATGGATATTCTTTCATTCTCTGTACTATCTGTCCTCACTGTGAAGCAACGTTGGCCCCCTAAAAGTATGGCCAAAATATCTGCCCAAATACGCCTCAATTGGCGAATGACAACCCAGGAGGGCATTGGAAATAAAAACTGATGCATATGATATTAACAAATATCTTTAAGGTGAAATACGATATTTTTAAAGGATTTAAGCAGAATGAGAAAATTATCAAATTTGAGTAATAGAAATTGAAGCACTCTACAAAATTTTATTGAGTTTTGTGTTTTAGACAAGATATTTTGAATTTTCTTTTTATATCTTTTATTTTCAAATAATTTTTGAAAGAATAGTTCTTGATCAAAAAAGCTTACAAGTATTATTCTCTAATCTATTAAAGGTAAATGGTTGAAACCAGCAGTTCCAGAAATTTAATGAACAACCAAACTCTAATATATCGATCGCCTTATGGCTGAGATTTATAATGTAAATAAATTAATATGTACCGTACGAAATTTATAACATCAGGAATAAGAATAAAATAAATATAAAAGAAAGAGAAATTTAATAATTTAATGAAATTTTTTTTTACAGTGGAAAAGAAAAATTACCTTAAAACATTAATAGAGGTAGGAGTGCAAAGCGAACAGAGGGAAAAGCCTTGTATTAGAAGTTCAGTTTTCTAATTTCCGTAAGGGAATTTCACTACCCAAATTTATACTTTAAAAAATTTTTAACTCTTGGAAGCGTAATGTTAAAGGAGCTAATGCGTCATAGAGTATCTTTGAACCAAGTATGACTCAAATGTATAGCGTAAGCATTTATTTTTACAATATTATTTGATGATATAGGATTTTACTTCATCAGGAGTGAGATTTGAGAAAAATATCTAAAGAATAAAGAAATTTCATATTTTAATAAAATTCTTGCTTCACAACGAGAAACAAAGATGAATGTAAATCACTAATGTGGATTGGGGATAGAACCTAACAGAAAAGAAAAACCTTCCATCAAAAAAAAAAAAAAAAAAAAAAAAAAAAAAAAAAAAAACAGTTTTTAAATTTCAAAAAAAAATTTTTTTTGCCAAAGTTTATGCTTTAAAATGTTGTAACTCGTGGAAACATTATGTTCAAAGCTAATGCAGAATAAAGTATTTTTACACCTAGTATAACTCAGATTAATAGCGTAAGCATAGATTTTTGCAATATTATTTAACGATGTACGAAATTTATAGCATCACGAGTAATAATAGAATGAAAATAAAATTAAAACCGGAATAAAGGTTATTTATAATGAAGTTTTTGTTTTACAGCGAGTAAAAAAATGACTAAAAATCCTTAGTAGTGGTTGGGGAGTGAAGCGAGCAGAGTCAAGTATTATAAAAAACGTGAATTTTTTCTAATTTCACTAAAATATATTTGTTACATAAATTTATACTTTAAAGATATTTAAACTTTCAGAAACATAATGCTCGAAATGTTCAAAAGTGATGCTTTAAATCATCTTTAATCAGGTTTTGGCTCAAATTTCCAGTGAAAGCAAATTTATTTTTGCAATATTATTTAAAGAAATCTAGTTACCAGTTCACATAGCTTGGGAATTTATTGCTTCTCATAACCGGCGGAAACTTCTGAGCTTTGAGAAAAATGACTTATTAAATTGCCGTAC